TCAGCAGCTTCGTTCGTTGATTACAGAAAGACGTCCGAAATAGCGGTCTAATTTTGCTACTACACAGTCGCAAGTAGGTACTACGCATACATTGAAAATATTGTAATTGCAGATCATCCCAAGTAATCGCAGAAAATGGAGTGTAGAGCAACAAAGGTGATGTCGATCCTGAGATGATGCACACGGAGAGAAACGTCTAGGGTTATCACCACTCAATTTGACAACTCATTACAATGATCACTACTACTCCCCAATCTACTACTTGTTGAATAGTCGAGGCGGACCGGCAACTCCGGTATGCCGATCCCGTGCATACGCGCACGTACTAGTCTCATATAGGACACTGTAGATAGTTATAGTAGTTTGTAGTATATTCTAGTTACATATGTTTGTAGTATACAAGGGGGACTGAGAGTCCCCGAATTCATTACCTTCTCACTCAACCACTACCCCTCATACTCGCTGCTCCAACACTACTCCCCTTGCGCGCCAAGCTCCGAAGAATCTGCGGCACTGGGACACCACGGAGACGTGATCATGGGGGCGCATGATCGCCATATCGCGGAGGTCATTGAGGACGAACCAGAGGTAGGTTCGTGGAGACGTTGGAGAGAGGCAATGGTGAATTTGCCAGAGCCCGAGACATCAACTTCAATTGCGACACTTCCACCATCGAGGTTGAAATTCCTGAGGGCGGTGGCTTCTGACTTCTCTGGATAAGATAACTGAAGTTACTGAACGTTTTTGAAGGCGATCTTGCAAAGTACGCTGGCAGGACGCAGGATTCATCATGACGAGCCATCGAGGCGGATGCAAGGTGGATGAGTCGTTTGGCATATTGGACAAATTTCGCAATCTCGTCAGCTGTAATTAGTGAAGTCAGAACCAGAATGTTTTCACAAAATACGAGAGCCAAATTAGCCACTCGTCACAGTGTCGAACTTGAACGCCACAACATGAGGGACTTCGACCATCTGTAGGAAGAACCAAGATGCTGCCACGTTCCACGGAGAATGAGGACCATTCCGACGAACCCTTCCGCGAGGTGGAAGGAGATGGATGAGATGGCAAGAAAGACCAAGAGTTTGTGTGGAATTAGGGGTAGATGTTGCGGCGTTTACTTCCGTCCGCTCTTCTTCAGGGGAAGTGAGGAGGTGGAGTTGACGAGGAAAAGAAAACTCATTCGCTGTGTCCCACCAGTGTGTATGAGCAACCTTCCCATAAACGAGTTTCCGTCCGTTCTGATTGGCTTTATAATTTAGTGCATTCCTTCTCGGAACTCTCATCTTCCTCGTCATCATATTTTCATAATGCTACCGATCGTACTAGTGTCTCCTAGTACAGCGAAAGTCGCACAGGAGGCGTAAACACGAGTATATGGGACACTGGCTGATACAGGAATGGACGTGATATGGATGGCAGATTCGGATGCGCAAACTGTTTAAAGGTTGATGTGGGCGGTGTGGATCTGGGATAGTGTGTGGCAAGAAGGTAAGTAAGACATAGTCACTACGCCCTTCGCCGTGTCAGAACCCGAAACAACACCTCCCGTCGCTTAGTGCGTACGCGCTTAGCTTTCCCCAACAAGGCTTCGTGGTCTTTCTTCACCTTCTCAAGCTCCATTCGCAACTTCGCAACCTCCTCCTCATGGGCCTCCTTATTGAATTTAATAGCGGCTTGGAACTCGATGGACAGACGCTTGAGCTCATCCTCGTAATGACTCACGAGTTGAACCAGCTGTTCCTTGAGCTCGAGACCTGCATCAGTTTCAGGCAAGGTTTTACCATGGAGAATTTCAACAACTACTCGAATGTCGCCAATAGGCGGACAGCGGAGGAGAGAAGACATGACCGCCTGTGCGGACTCGAGAGTATTGTCGTGGCGATGGACCTGGGCTTGACCGTCGATGAAATCTTCGAAATGGTGGCCGAGGAGCTCCTTCTCGGTCTTCCCCGCGGCCTGAAGTTGTTGTTCACCATGTAATTCGTCCCATCTTGTGGTGACAATGGCGACATTCTTCATGGCTTCGGGTCCACAAAGAGAAGAAAACATACGAATGTTGCGCGTTGCGGCGCCACCAACGCGGACGTCGCGGATGCGGTGAAAGTACATAAAACCATGCACGGCCTTTGTATGGTGTCTCCCAAGTCAAGGATAGAATTATTATAGGCATTTATGAAAAATGACCGCAACACATACCTCCTTTTCAAGAACTCAGCTATATCGTCAAGAAGTTTCGAATCGCTCATGTTTGGTCGGCTGTCGTCGAAACCAGGTGTATCGACCAAGGACACGCATTGGTGATTGTGAAAAAATAGAAAGCTCTTGATTTCACTAGTTTCGGGTTCGAGGGTCTCTCCGACCTTGACACCTTCATCCCCAGTAAGAAGCTTTATGAACTGATGTCTTGGGGATCAGAACTAAGAATTTGTTACACGGAAAAGACTCACCGATGACTTTCCAGTGCCAGTCATTCCCATGAGGCTGGGAAGAAATTTAGCGGTCTGCCGTGGAACACAGATTCTTCTTCCTTACACAATGACCTTCGCACCGGTGGGTTCGGCATCAGAGCCGTCTTGTGTATCTGAGGGTTGATCTTGTGGAGTCAGAGCCCCCGGGTGCCAGGGTAAATGAACAAAAATACATACTGGTTCCTGGAAGGGGGTCAGGTACGAAGGAGGATATAGCCTAATCGCTCACCAGAGTGTGCAGCATTGAAATACATGTTGCCGACCTAAGTTTGAGAATTTGAGGATCAAAGAGAAAGACAGGCTTATATGTTGGCATGCTATGTCAACTCGTGGGTAAACATGTGGATTGTTGCGCGCATAGAAAGGAGAAGCGATATCTGTTCGGAGGCGCCAATTTGTGACATAGCATGTCGTAAATAGTACACATCTTGCCTCTGACCCTCACCCGAAAAAGGCCGCACTTGCCTTTTCGACAGACGAAAAGTTAGGTCGTGAAAGATCTTCCCCAATCGGAACGTGTATTCCAGATGGAATGGTTCGTGAATAGAGTGAAGGCGTGCATGTAATTCTGCCAGGGCACTGGGGAAGGAACGCAAGGTGGCTGCCCACCTGGGGAATCCCCAGATGTGACGCGGCCGATTCAATCCTCCCATCTTGGAGGATTGTATTCTTTTCATTGAGGGTTGACATAGAAAGAACGGCCCCATATCGAAACTTTCGATGGCGCGATGCAAGTGCATGGCGAAGTTGACAACAGCCTTGAGTGCGCCTCCAGACTGCTTGAAGACGCGGCGATCTCATAATGTGAGAACATCCGTTTCACAGCGTTGAACCCACCTGATCATGAAACAATTCAAATTCGCCTACTACTAGTTCACTGAGCGCAGCAAAGTTCATGCCAGTCAGGTTGACCCTGCTGTTCGTCGTGATAGAACACTCACTTCAGTCCTCGCAGCAGTCGTGCGGCACTGGGCCCTGCCAGTGATCGATATTTATGGACTCGGATGTTTCTGAAACACTAGTTGGGTGTGGGAAGTTGTTGAAGCCATCCATAGAAGATATGGAGGAGAAACGCGGTTTGCACGTAATTTGTGGAAGACGCTTGCGCCAACTTTTTGAATCAGTGTTACACTTTGATTTGAAGTCACACGTTGCGCTCTCAGGCTCATGCTCGGACTCCACATTGGCTCCACATGTTTAGCCACGACCAGGTGCGGTGCCGACGTATAGCCATGACCTTAAATGTATGGTGCCACCTTCTTTCCGTTGAGCTTCCGAATCCACCTTGGCAACATGGGCCTTCGCAAATACTTTGGTAAGAAAATCAACCACTCATCCTCTTTCGTACCTGACTTTTTCTTTCTTGGAAGACGACGCATATACTAGCAGCAGAGTCGGTCAGGCGCTTGACCTTCTTATTCCAGACTACGATATTGGAGGAGGAAGAGGGGGTGAGTAACTCAACTGCACTAAACTCCCAAGTAGTATGTAACTCCTTTTAGGAGGCAGCGCTAAGCGCTTCGCTTCTGACTTCTGTATGTTTTTCGATTGCCAACTCCCATGGATGAAAACAACTAAGGTCTAGACTTACCCAACCGACAAAAAAAAAAAACTTTCGACTATCGTTGCGAAA